TGGCGGGGGGCCTGTGGCCGCCGTGGATCGCTGAATCCAGGGCCACGCTCCCCGCGCCTCGGCTTCGCACTCGCCTAGGTAGTAGCTCCTTCTCCGAGTACACACTGGGGGTCCCCGACACCGGTTCTGCGGGCGAGATGCCCCTAGGACACATCATGAGGCTGGATCTGGAGAAAATCGCCCTGGAGTACATCGTGCCCTGTCTGCACGAGGTGGGCTTCTGCTACCTGGACAACTTCCTGGGCGAGGTGGTGGGCGACTGCGTCCTCGAGCGCGTTAAGCAGCTGCACTGCAACGGGGCCCTGCGGGACGGCCAGCTGGCCGGGCCGCGCGCCGGCGTCTCCAAGAGGCACCTGCGGGGCGACCAGATCACGTGGATCGGGGGCAACGAGGAGGGCTGCGAGGCCATCAGCTTCCTCCTGTCGCTCATCGACAGGCTGGTCCTGTACTGCGGGAGCCGGCTGGGTAAATACTACGTCAAGGAGAGGTCCAAGGTAGGACGCGCGCGAGCCCCGAGCGCGGCTCGCGGGGACGGGAGGCGTTCGCAGGCGGTCCTACTCGTATGCTGCCTTCGCCGGGCAGCAAGTGAACTTGGGTTTTTAGCCAATAAGCCAGCCTCGTTTGTCTCTCCCCCAGCCACCAGCCCCTCTCAGTAAAAGTCCATATGAAGGGGCTCAGGTGTATCATTAGAATGACCTTCTCTTGACTTTGAACTAACGGCTGTGGTGGGTGGTACTAGCCGGACAAGCTGTGACTTTTGATCCGATTGTAAGACATGGAGATTCTCAAAGACCCAGACGAGGGAAAGGATATTATTACGGGAACACTGCATGGTCTGAGACAGCACGTATCCTCATGATCTTAAATGCGCACCTCAAAGCCAGCGAACTTGCCCTTCATTGTGGTCAGGGGAGATTCCTCCAAAAGGACCCTTAAGGCATTCTGGATGGAGGCACTTGTGATTTTGCAGTGTGGCAGTTGGTTTGTAGCATTTGGCAGGTGTGGGAAGGAAGAGTTTGGCATATGGAAAGGTGAGAGGGCTCTTCACTTTGGAATGCTGCCCTTGACTTGGACCCAGGACAGGGCAGACCACCTACCTGACTGAAACCCTCTCCTGGTCTGACCACTACACCACCACCTTCTTTTTTCTAGCCATCAAGTGATGGTAAAATCCACTCGAAACAACCAGTTAAGTGTTCATGAGAGAGTAGTCAAGTACCTCTGGAAAGAAACTGTTTTTGTTAATACAGCCACAAGTGACTGCGTGGGTGGTAATTTACCTTGGAAACACTCACAGGTAGACTGGCAGAAATGGGGGACCACATGTAGGAACCATGACTTTGGTGCATGGACACTGCTTTGGAATAGTCTTTGCTACTCAGCTTTTCTTCAAATGATAGTCCAGCCAGTCTTCCAGTGACCATCCTCAGTAATTTGCATATGTATTGTGGTCAGGTTAAAGGGCACAGAACTGTGGGAAACTTTTTATTGAAACACGGTGAGGCAGAGCATGCTAGCCTCACAGGGAAGCCGGACATTCACCTATGTACATTCATCAACAAGAAGTGCAGGATTTCTTAGGTGGCATGGTGGTTGAGAGCACTGGACTCCCACATGGCCAACAGTGGTTCAAGTCCTGAACCTGGTGGCTTGCTTTTTCACTTTCTCTCTCTCTCTCTTGCTCTGTCCCTCTCCGGTCAAATGAAAATAAGTAAATGAATAAATAAAGTTAAATAAAATATCTCTTAAAAAAAGATTGAGTCTGTTATAAAACAAACTATTGACTCATTTGTCTCATAAGTAAAGAAGCACTCTTGTTAACCAAGGGTAAGTGGTAGAAGCTGGAAACGTGTAGACATGAAGGAGTTGAGGTGGGCAAATGGAGAGGGGCATCTAGCCATCAATCATGAATAGAATATCAGAGAACATTAATAAGGCCACAAGTAAAGAAGAAAGTGGTGCTTTCTAAATTTTACTTTGATTTTGGGCACAAATTCAGTTAGCTCAACTCTGAAAAAGACTGATGTTAAAGTATTTCTTTACTCTTCCCCCATCATTTTGATGGTGGATTAGAGAGTCACCGGGTCCTTTTGAATAGGTTTTTATGGTGTTTTTTTTTTTTTTTTTTTTTTTTTTTTGTACTAAATGGCCTTATTTGTCTCCTGGTGGTGAGTGGAGGGAATGGTGGTGGTGGGGGTGGTGGTTGTTTGCTTCAGTGTTACTGCCCTGCCTGTAGTGTCAACCTGAAGAGCAGATGGCTCATCAGCTTTTTAGAGTTTCTTCTAAGTTCAGATGTTAGAAATGAGTGTGCTTTGAGGAGGGTCAGAATCAGTAGGTAGAAAGAGGTTACTAATGTATTTGAAAGTTAAATATTTTTATTTAGCTTCGACTTAGTGAACACGGGTAGGGTTTCAGACTAGAATTTTACTAAAATAGAAGGAGAAGCACTGTGTAAGTTAGAGTTAGGAAAGCAGGATCTCCAGATATGATTCTTCAGCTATAGACTGTCTTTTGGGTGGAATAGTAACTTTTAAGTGAGCACTGTCAGAAGGTGACAGTGAGTTAAAAAAGAGAGAACACTTCTTGTCTACTGAAAAGACATCTGCCCATACCCAGAATTCCAGCTTTACTTTGGCTGTTTTGGCACAAAGCTCTTCATTCTTGCCCTGTAGAAAAATCATTTCTAGGTGGGGATAGTCCCTGGCCAACTAGAATGAAATGTAAACTGGGCTTGAGCAAACAGTTTGTATAGGAAAGCAAATTTTTTTAAAGTTAGATTTGCTTGTATGAAGAAGTCTTTCTTTTAGTAATGTCTGTGGCCTGGGGTCTCTTTTTTGAAGTTCATTGTTAAAGCAGTGTAGAAACACTGTCATTTCTACATAATCTATATTAGTTTTACCTTAATTTAACCTTTTTCCTTCTCTACTAGCTTTTCTTCCTTCAACTGAGTCCCTTATTTTGTGCCGCTTCCCAGAGTAGTGACACAGACCTAGTTTCTGACTACAGTCTTTAAGCAAGTTTTCAGTAAAAATTAATTTTTTTTTTTGGAGAGGTTTTTTTGCTATAGGGCGCGTGCGCTCGCCAGCCAGACGGAGACAGACAGAGAGACAGAAAGTGAGAAATCACCCCCCCGGGGGGGATGGCCACGCCGCAATCCCTTCTCCTCCATTCTCCTCTCGGGATCTTGGGCATGCACGCACACGCGCCCGGCGTGAGTTTTAAGCCACCGGGTCTGGGACACAAACCGTGGTCGACTACATGGGAGTCCAGCGACATAGCCATTACGCTAACTGCTGGTTCCCTAAAAATTAAATTTTTAAAAGACAAATTTGTGCATGCGTTTTAAATTTATTTATAACTTTTTATTGAGGAAAACTTCAAACACACTTAGAGGCTAGTATTGTAAGTCCCCTTCTCATCACCTACTTCCAACAACTGCCAATATGTGCATTTATTTTAGGCCAGTTAGTTTTTAGATATTTAAAGTTTCTTGGACATTATGCTTATTAATTCATTCATTCTAATGAAATTTTGTTTTGTTTGTTTATTTTGCTGGACCTTTTTAAGGTCATTAAATACTATAATAACGTCCTTTACTTAATGAAACAATAGCAAAGAGATTGAGAATGCAACAGAATATACGGTGGGTCTAAAGTTAAAGTTGTGGGAGGGTATAGAAAGAAATATTAGATAGTCCCTCTCCCTACAAAAAATAGTTGCTGGTAAGAATTTACTTACCTCAGCTTTGTTGGAGAAAAATCCAAGGGTGCTGAAGACCCTCTGGGGTGAAGTGGTTTCCTGTATGTACAGAAGTATGGTGCCCCCTAACTTCAAGTATGATCATTGCTTTCAGGCTAGCAAGGGATATTTTATCTGTTATCCTTTTTGGAGATTTTAGACCATATCCAAAATAAATATTGGGCATAATTTGCTCCTTTTTCTTTGGCTGCTTAGATCCTGAAAATGGCTGGTTTCCAGAGAACGTGTAATTTATGGAACCAAAAGTTCCTCTGCTTGAAACAGCTCACTGTAGACTCATTAGTGAGTAACTCTAATAATAATAGCTTCTTTTTATTGAGCAGTCTGATCTGTCTGACATTGTGCTAAGCACTTAAAAACAATATCTAACTTAATATTCTGAATGAAAACTTAAATACATTGAATGATTAAATAATTTGCCCAAAATCTCAGAATCAGTGGAAAGCAGCCGTTCATCATAGGGACAAGGAGCTTAGACTTGGAGTTACTAGCTGTGGCCTTAAGCAGGTTGCTTAGTTTTTACCAAGTGTAAAATGAGGGAAAATAATACCTTAAAGCCGGTGGGGAGAGGGGAATGGAGGTGGAAGAGAAGAATTAAATAAGATAATGTACTTAAAATTCTTAGTAGAATCCTGAACTTGAATGTGTTACAAGACTGAGTGGGAGATTCTAACCCAAATCTGTCTGACTCCACAATCTTAACTATCAGCTCTCCTGTTTTTTGTTCTTTTATATATGCAGCACTTGTTTAAGGGATGTTTATTCTGTGTGGGGTACTGTGTAGGGGTTACAGTGGAGGACAAGCTTACATTCACATATACTTTTGAATTCTAGGACTCTCTACTTCACACTTGACTAGTTCTGAAATTTAAAATCAAACCAAGAATCCTAGAAAGACCCAGACATTGAAGTGGGTCAGCTGAGTACATTTGAAGAAGAAATAGAATGTAACGCTAGTGTTTTGCTACTGTTATTTTAAGGAAAGTACTCATTAACAAGGTTGGTTGGTTGGACCACTGACCAGAGTAACACTGGACTGTGGCATGAGGGCTGCATTGTGAACAGACAAATATGTCTTCCCCTAGAAACAATTTAGAGGAATGATGAAACAGCAAAGAGTTTACGAGTAAAAGAAAATAGCCCCTTAACCTCATGGTTAAAGGAGCCAGATCCCACATGGCTGATGGCAATTCTAATCCCTGCCCTGGTGGCTTGGCAAACATGACAGGCAAACATTCCTAAAATCTTGACAGGATGGAGAGAGGAAGGAGAAGGAATTGTAGTGTGATCATGTAACCCCTCCTTTTTTTGGCGGGAGGTGCTCTCTCTCTCACACAACAAATGCAATTAAAATAACAACAACAACAACAACAAAAAGAAAATGTGTTATAAGGTGGTGAGTTTCTTCTTCTACTGTTCAGCAGCAAAAGTTTTGGCCCACCCTTCTCATGTGATGGAGCATATCCTTATAGGATACATTAAACAAAAATGGGATAATACACTGCAAAAATCAGGTTATCTCTCAGGGCCTACGTGCAGGAAATGCAATCAGGCTTCTGGGAAGACTGAAGCCATGAACAAGGAAGCAGGAAGTGCTTATCATCCAGGATACCTGGTGTGTTAGTTCTTTACTCTGGAGCTTCAAGGCCTCTGTCTTTGCTTCTCTGTGTTCTTAGTTTCTCCTCTCTCCTTTCAATCCAGCTTTTGCTGCAGTTCTTTGCATATGACTCATGAT